CCATTCCCAAAGCCTCGCCTCTTACAGATCCACTACTGACACATGGAGGCCAAGCTGCTGGCACATGGACCTGTGGGGGACACACTCAAGCTATATGCCAACCACAGCATGTGGTTAAAGGGTGGTGTTCACCTCCCAAGCTCGGTTAGGGTAAAGGGAGTCCTTCTGCCAGCTTGGACATCCGCAGGGCTGCGGAAAGTCACGGGCTGTTGGTGACGCTGGGATTCAGGGGACTTCCTCAAGGAGGAGCAATGGCACAGCAATTCTGGGTACCCAGAACACTGAGGGCATCGGGGCTGGCTGACAGTGTGAGGGCAGCCACAGTAGAGGAACACCAGGAAACTGAGCTGGGAGACAAAAGCAGCTTGGTGAAGGTGACCCTGGTATAAAATTTTATGGGCTTTCCTAGTAATAACCGAAGAAACTGCTCGTATCGTTTCATGTCTCCATTGTGTTCAAGATTCGACAGTTTCTTTCTCATGTCTTCATTTTGTTCAATATTCAACCAAATTGCAGTGTTATTTTTTTTTTTAGTACCAGGGATTGAACTCGGGTCCTTGTGCTTGCGAGGCAGGCGGTGGAACCCCTGAGTTAAATCCCCGGCCCTGAATTGCAGTGTTTTTGCTGGGCCTTCTAGCCTGTAACTGCTAGTGGCTGAACACTCAAATTCTGGTTAGCAGAGGCACAAAAGCATTGTAATTTTGAAGTAGAAATTCAGGTTTAGTTAACACTGTAAGTGTTATTTAATGTGAAGCATTTGATGGTACAATTTTTAATTAGATATTAGACCAATATTTTTATTCTTAAAAACCTAGCAAATAATTGCTATAAAATATACATATATAGGTTTTTAATTATTGTGATGTTTGTTTAGTAGCTTTAAATCCATTCACATTGTTGTGCAGCTACCACCACTTCTATGTCCAGAACTTTAAAAAATCTTCCCAAACCAAAACTCTGTACCTCTAAACAGTTACTCCCTCCCCACTCAGCAACAACCCCCCCCCCGCCCCAGTCCACTGTGAATTTGACTTAAATTCTTGGTATTTTATATTCTTGGAATCATACAATATTTGTCCAAGTCTGATTTATTTTTTCTAGAATCAAATGCTCCATGTTCATGCACACTGTAGCACGTGTCAGGATGGGCTTCCTCTTACAGGCAGAGTGCCACCCCGTTGTGTGTGTACACCACCTGATGCCTGTCCCTCCATCTCTCGAACATGTGGGTCACTTTTGCCTTTCGGCTCCTGTGAACAATGCTTCTGTGAGCACAGAGGGTCACGTATCTGTTTGAGTCCCTTTGCTTAATTCTTTTGGATGCACAGCCAAAAATGGGGTTGCTGGATCACAAGTAATTCTTTAATTTTATGAGCGACTGCCGAGGT